GTGGAATACGAAGAGCTGCTGCGCACTTCACTCCAAGTCCGTGAAATCAAGGAACTATTGAATTTAAGCCAAGGAAAATAACTTTCTTCTGCTGGACTTCCTGAGCAGCCTTAACAGTGTTGGTGTTTTTCCTTTACCTTCCTGTACTGGCAGCAGGCTTCTCCCTGTGCAAACACATGTGGGCGTTTCATGTGATTGCTTATATTGGGAAGTGATAGCTTGATAAGTGCTTGTAAGCCACAGGGCAGTGGGGAGGCCCACGGAAGGCTTTGAGGTACACGACTTGCACTGTAACAAACAGTGTATTCCTGTATGGTGTTACTTGTTTGTTTTAGTACGATCACTGGAAGACCTGTGTGTCTGATTCTTTCGAGTGTGGTTCTAATGAGAAACGGTATCATAGATGGAAATAATGAAAATTCACGAGACTTGGTTAAAAAGCTATTATAATGTGCTAGATGGTGGATAAAGTGCAGTTCACTGTGTCCTGTAGGGTACCTTGGTGGTGCTTGAGCTGTTTGAACTTCCAAGGGTATATTGGACCATTTTCCTAATCTTTCCTTCCTGGAACAGTCAGTGCCTGCTTTGAGTGTTTTGCACATTTGACAGGGAGTAGTTTCATCAAAAGGATACTGGTATAACTCACCTTTTACATCTCATTCTTTAGAAATGGCTTGCTTTACTGATTTTTATCTCAGTATATTCGAAAACAAAAGATAAATGCTTTTATCTTGCCTTTTTTTCATAAAAATCAGTGCATGTGCATTTACTTTCTGGTAAAGTGTAGCGTGCCTGAGAAGACTGCTTAGTAAATCAAACACACTTCAAAATTGAATTGGAGTGGAAATGGAGAATGTGTTCGAAAAGCATATGTTCTGGACAGGTTATTAAAGTGAAATTTGCAATGGCTAAGGCTTGCAGCTTTGTGCTGCACAGTTCAGTGTGGAGGCAGCTGTAAACGTTACTGTGTGTGGTGGGGAAGACCAGCCATGTTCTGTTTTCATACTTGGTGCCTATGCTGCTGTTGCAGTCCAAAACTTCTGATGCTGTTCATGTGCTGAACCTGTCAGTGGTCTACACAAGCTCCTGGGAGAAGCTGGACCATGATGTACTTCTCAGCAACTCTTTTGCTGTTCTGCAGGCACAGGTCTTTTGGAGTGGCATGCTGGGTGTGCTGTGCAGTTGAGTCTCATCTTTGGCAGCATCAGCTTTTACTGGCTCACTTCCCTCTACAACTGAGGGTTTGTGTTATTTAACAGGGTGATGCCCTCTCCTTTTCAGTAAGTCAGCTGATAGAAGATTGCAAAGAGGAGGAGAGTAGGAGCCGACTACTCTCTTGTGGTTATGGCAGTTACAGTGTGGAAGCTACAGGCTTGTGCTGACAGTGGTGAGATTGCAGTATGGAGTGAAACCTGAGCAAGTGGATGTGGTGCATTGGTTGGTAGGAGAAAATAGAAGGTTGTGCTAGATCTGTGTGGGGACTGGAAAGGCAGCAGATCCAGAAGACAGCATCCTGAAAGAGGATTTTCATGACCTATAGTAGAGGAGCTAGTTTTTTGTTGTTTGGAACAAGCTAGATAATAAGAAAACTCTTAATCTTTCTGTAAACTATGGATTGCTTCACAGAACTTTCCTTTGCAATGTTGGTTTAAAAAAAATAAAATGCTGTTATACAATGATAGCCAGCCTTCCTGACCTTCAAGCCTTCACCATGGCTGTACCATGTGATACAGAGAGCTAGAGTACTTGAGGTGGTTTGAGCCTGAGCATTCCTCAGGTGTCCCAAACCCCCAGTGTGGGTTCGGTACCTGTCTGTTTCCCTTTCTTAATGAAAAAACTCAGTAATGGCAATGTCAGACAGACACATTTCAGATCATTTGCAAGCATTTCAGCTTCCAAGGACAGCCATCTCAAGAGTTGCAGGCTGACTATTATCCTATTATATTATCTCTGGTTAAATGCAACTATGTATTTTCAGATGTCATATTTTAAAATTTAGCCATTTTAATAATTCAGTATTGAGTCTGAGGTTGACAGAGGCAGGCAGATTTTCCTAACTGATATATCATCCTAAGATAATGACAATAAAAGAGCTAACTTGCTCTTTTATTGTACACTCTGAAGCATGCTCTTGCACACCATTATTCATAGTACTCGCAATATGTGATTGCTAGCACAAGTCTGGGAAAATGTGCTAAATCCTGCTCCAGGATTTAGCCTGCATTATCAAGTGAAGTATGTATCCAGCTCATTCCAAGGGTCGGTGTTGTGGTACTACATGCCATATGGCTGATGCGTGGCAGAATTTTGTTCACACAGACGTGAAAAGTTCAGTCAAAGGTTCTTCTAGCTTGGTTATTGCCTGGTACTCTGATCAGAAAGGTGTTTTTTCCAGGGTCACTCTGGGACTGTTGACTCTTCTGACTTAATCAATTTCTGCTGTAAAGGTTTTTGGGAGTGGGGGAAGATACTATGTTCACACTGTCTTTGGACTAGGACGCAGCTAGTGTTATGGTGTAACTAGGTTAAGTATTTGATAACTGTCCTGGTTTTGGCAGGGATAGAGTTAATTTCCTTCCTAGTAGCTGGTACAGTGCTGTGTTTTGGATTTAGGATGAGAACAAAGTTGATAAGGCACCGATGTTTTAGTTGTTGCCAGGTAGTGCTTACACTAGCCAAGGACTTTTTAGTTTCCCATGCTCTACCGACTGAGAAGGCTGCAGGTGCACAGAGGGCTG